CCCATTGTCTTCTCACCTGCATGGTTTCTCTCAAGAAATCCAAGCTTAGTCTTACTGGTTGCCCCTTGTAGGTAACTTTTTGTTTTTCCCGTGCTGCTCTCAGGATTCTTTCTTCATCTTTGGTTTTGGTAAGTTTGATGATGATAAGTCTTGGTGATTTTCTTTTAGGATCTATCCTGTTTGGGGTTCATTGCACTTCCTGAATGGATATATTCTTATCTTTTATCATACCAGGAAAACTCTTCCAACAAATCTTTGACAATTTTCTCTGTGGTTTTATTTGTGTCTTCCTGTTCTGGAATTCCAATGACATGTAGGTTATTCCTTTTGATGGTATCCCATATGAACCTTAGGCTTTCTTCATTTTGTTTTGATCTTTTTTTCTGCTTGATCCCTTTCCAAAGAAGTGTTCAGGTATTTGCCTTCAATCTCCCTAGTTCTGTCATCCATTGATTCAATTCTGCTTCTTTGCTCATTCAATGTCTTATCTATTTCTGAAAATGTAGTATTAATCTTTTGGATTTCTGTGTGTAGATTTGGTATCATTTCTAATTTTTCATTTATTTTGTCATTTCGTTCTTGTATTGTCTTTTGAAATTATTCTAGAGTTTTTTCTGATTTGTCTCTCAATTTAGATACCTAAATATAATTCTTTTGAATTCCTTATCAGGGAGTTTCAATGCTGTGTCTTCCTCAGGGATGTGTTTTGGGTCCGTATCCTGGTCCCTTGTTTCTCGTGCTTTATCTTGCTTCTTTGTGTGGTCTGTGATGCTCTGTTGTCTCTGAGGCATTGTGATGTTTTTGTATTTATATTTAATTGGTGATTGTATGTTGGAGTGACTTGCCCACAGTATTCGTTTTCTTTGTTTGTATGTTATCTACACAAGCAGGGTACTGTGCTGTGCTCCTCTATTTGCTAGTGGGCAGCATTTATACACTCACCACCAGCCTCCTTTCCTGTTGTCAGCCTCTCGTATGTCCCTGACGCCCTTGGCAAATAGAGCCTATTCCTAGGTCCCTGGAATCCGAATGAGAATGCTATCACTTTAAAATCCAAAATGGTTGCTACTTGTAAAGATTCAAAATGGCTGCACCCTCAGTCACTTTAAATATCCAAAATGGCCACTACTTGTAAACATTCAAAATGGCTGCACCTTCGGTCACTTAAATATCCAAAATGGCTGCTGCATGTAAACAATCAAAATGGCTGTGCCCTCCGGACATCAGAAAGTCAACAGCTCAGGTTATCTCCCTCCTTGCTGTTTCCCTTCCTAGTCATAGGCCACCAGCACAGTCGTCCCTGCAGCCCTTGGTGACCAGGGCTGATCTTTTCTGAGGTGAATTCTCAGGTCTCAACACCACTTGGAACTATTCAGGCTATTGGTCCCGTCGGAGTAGCTGACAGTCCCCAGCTCCAACCATCTCTGTACTCACTGTTTTCGTTCAGGTTTTTCCACTAGTTTGTGCCTAATCCACTTCTATATAGTTCCTTTCAAAGCTCAGGGCTCCAGGATTATCTTCTGTATTTCTGTCAAATGGTTTTTCTTTTCTTTGTTGAAGAGGGTCTGTGTTGCTTGTCTGCCTAGTCCTCCATCTTACTGGAAGTCCCTACCCATTGGCTTTTAAATAAGGTGTTATTCAGTTTCCATGTATTAGATTTTTTTCCTTTTTCTTCCTGTTATTGATTCTAATTTGATAGAATCGTGATCACAGAAGATGCTTTATATGATTTCTATGTTTATTAATTTATTGAGGCTTATTTTATGGCCTAATGTATGGTCTGTTCTGAGGAGTGGTCCATGTGCATTGGAAAAGAATGTATTGTGCTGCTATCGAGTGGAGTATTTTGTATATGTCTGTGAGTTCAAGTTGGTTGATTGTGTTATTTGATATTCCGTATCTCTGTTGAGTTTCTAGTTCTATCCTTCATCAAAAGTGGTGTGTTAAAGTCTCCTACTATTATTGTGGAACTATCTATTTCTCTTTTCAGAGCTGTTAGAGTTTGTTTTATATATTTTGGTGCAATGTCATTGGGTGTGTAAATATTTACTATAGTTATGTCCTCTTGATGAATTGACCCTTTACTCATTAAATAATGTCTTTCTTTGGTATCTGTGGTTGATTTTGCCTTAAAATTTATTTTATCAGAGGTTAATATAGTCATTTCTGCTCTTTTTTGGTTACTGTTTGCTTAATATATTTTCTTTCCATCCTTTGATTTTAGCTTATTTGTATCTTTCTAAGATGTGTATTTTGTAGACAACATATTTATGTGTCTTTTTTTTTTTTTTATATACTTTCATTCACTCTTTCTCTTGACTCAAACCAAAACCAAACTCACTGCCACCGAACTGATTTCCGCTCATAGCAACCCTTGTTGAATTTCCCGGGCTGCAAATCTTTATGGAAGCAAATTGCCTCATCTTTCTTCTGCAGAGCAACTGGTGGCTTCAAATCATGAACCTTTTGGTTAGCAGCCAAATGCCTTAACCCCTACACCACCAGAGCTCCTTTTCTCCTGACTAGTACATTTAAACCATTTATATTCAGTGAGATTATAGGTATGAATTTACTGCTGTAGTTTTATTATGCTTTTTTTCCCTGGTGTTGACAGTCTCTTTGTTTCACTTAATTTTATATGCTCCTTGCCTATTTCTTAATTACCATTGAGTTATAAGAATTCTTACATAGTCTGGATTCAAATCTTTTATTAGAGATATGATTTGTAAATATTTTCTCTCCTTGTATGGGGTTCCTTTTTTCTTGATTGTATTGCCTGAAGCATTCACGTTTCTAATTTTGATGAAGTCCCACTTGCCTTTTTTTTTTCTTTTGTCATTGTGTTTTCAGTGCCATACCTAAGAAACTGTTGCCTATTCCAATGTCATGAAGATTAACACCTATGTTTCCTTCTAAGAGTTCTATAGTTTTAACCCTTACATTTAGGTCATTGATCCATTTTGAGTTGATTTTTATTTGTGGTGTGAGACAGGGGTTCTTTTTTTTTTTTTTTCCCCCAAACATGTAGATATCTAGTTGCACCAGACTATTCTTCCTGGGACAAAAACAAAAGACTGTTCTTCTCCCTGCCCCACTGAATGGTCGCGGCAGCTTTGTGAAAACCCTCAAAGCAGAAGCTTCCAGGGTTTCCTGGGTTGAACTGTCTCTCCCTACCCAGGATCGGGCTAAAGCTGAGTATGTGAACAACAAGTTACGGAAGCAGCTGGCGGAGTTCCGAGCACCCCCAGTCATGCTGTATGTCCAGGAGAAGATCATGAATGGGGAGCTGGAGAACAGCATCAAGACATGGGAAAGGAAAGTCGAGATCACAGAGGTCAGTCACAGGAGAAGCCCAAGGTGGCAGTCTTTTGGGCCCTGAACATTTTTGTTTAGGATTTTGTTTTTCAGGGTAAAATTAAAGGTGTTTGTAATGTTCGTGAGAAATCTTAGCAGTTGCTTTGTTATACTAAAATGAAGGATGGTTTTTGTCTTTAAAGCTCCCTTCTCATTGTTAGGTGTAGGGTCTTTTCAGGTACCAGGAAGAGACTTCATAGTAATGTATGCTTTCAATTGCTTATTCTTTTAATGAAACTAGAAGCTTATGATTCCCTGCAACCATTGATAATTTGTGATTGCCACTTTATACATGGGTAAAGCCAGTTTTTTTTTTTTTTAAATAAATAATGTATTTTTAATATACCCAGTACCCAATTCCATGCATGTACATAGTCACCATGGGTCTTTGATTTTAACTAATCTTGCAGCCTAATAAGATACAGTGTGCACAGTAGCACCCTGGGTCCTTGTGAGCCACGGAAGACAAGTGGGCAATGTGGGAATTGTTTACTGGCATCAGAAAGAAGTAAAGTACCAAAACTGCCACAAATCGGGCTGCACACTGAGGTCACTTATGACCTTTAAAACACCATCAGTTACTCAGGAAATGAGTAGGAGCTTAGCATTGTCACATGTGGACCCCGTCTCAGGGCCCATGGTACTTTCTTCTGCCTTTCCTGTGACCACATGGTGCACAGAGTGAATAAGAGCCAAACTTGGACCACATTCAGAGCTGAGAAGTAGCAGAGAATTGCAACAGACACCTCCAACTTTTCACTTCATTAAACAGAAGCATGCTCCTTAGGAGAATCTTGGGGTTGGGTGCTGCTCATGTGCGACCTGGCCCAGCTGCATGCATAGCAGAGCACTGGCCCATGAAAGGTGCCCCACACTGTCAGCAGGGCTGGGTGAGGTCTGCCTTCTGGAGGGCACAATCCGTGACTTAGCCAAATGGCCTTCTCTCCCCTACCCCTTTTTCCTTCTTTGCAGATGACCTTGAGAGGCTACCATAAGACTTGGAATAAAATGAAAACCACTTGTGAGCAGTTGCAGACAACTGGCACCCCTGGGAAATAACCCGAAGAAGGCCTGGCCTTGGCCACAGCTGCAGCCCAAGAAGTGATCCATTAAAGTAATCAGCTATTTTCTAGTCATGGGATCCTCTCACTCCCTGTGCTAATTGGTGTCCCCAGCTGTCCAGCCAGGCTCCGAGAATAGGTACCTCCTGAGCCACATCTGCCCAAGGGGACCTTTCACAGCCTTGACGCCTGGAACTGTCCCCACTGAAAGAATCACAGGGCACGCCCAATGTTTTGACACTTGTTAGCCCACATTTAGTTCACAAGCACAAATGAAAGTGACCTTCCCACATGTGGGATGGGATAAAGGAGGGAGAGCCAGCCTCGCCTATGCTGTGGGCCTGGCCCTGGCAGCCCAGCTCTGCAACTATCAAAAATACAAAAATAGACATCCATACGGTCTGGCAAGTGCCTGGCACTTGGCATTCTAAGCTTAACCTTCAGCTGAGTGGGTCAGCTCCTAGACTAGGTACTGCTGCAAAAGGCACTGAGCAAGAGAAAAAGCATGGTGATTTGCTGGGGCTGGTGTAAGCTGTTCTGACCTGCAATGGACCCCCCGCCTTCCCCAGCCTCCCCCCCATAGTAGTCATAGTACATGGGTTGCATGGCCATCTCTGAAGCCCGGCCTGCCTCCCTCAGACCCTTTTGCCTAAAGTCAAGACTATTCCTAGAGTCTTTTGCTGGCAGCGAATGACTGGAGGGCCACTTTCGTCCTTGGTGGTGCCCTGGGTGCCATCCAGCATGGCCTGACTCAGCATGTGTTTTCTTTGTCATGATGCCCTTCAGCCCGCCGGAAGGAGGGAGCACCTTCTTCCAGTGGTGGAGGGAATACAGGTCAGGGCCAACTCTCTTCGCCTGGGCCTCGATCCAGTCACTGTAGTCTTCCACCTTGGTGTACAGAAATGGGCCGGCGCATTCCTCACTACCTGTGTTCAGGATGCCTCTCAGGACCCAGAGATCCGATTGCTGGAACTGGCAGATCACTGGGTTGCCTGGGTCCCCCTGTGACAAAGGACAGAAGGCTTTAGGTCTTAGGAAAACATGCTTGCTTTGTAAGTATATCCTTATGCAATTTTGGGCACAAGGCAATTTGGTAAAATATCCTGGTGCAATTAGAAATGTCCTACACTAATTCTCGGGAGCTCTGGTGGCATAGTTCCTAAGGCATTTGACTGCTAACCAGAAGACTGATGGTTCAAACCCACCAGCCACCCCTTGGAAGGATGGTTGGGCAATCTTCTTCCGTAGTGATATCGCCTCAGAAACCCAAGGAGGGGTCGCTATGAGTCAAAATTGACTCGATGGCAGAAGGTCGGTTGGTTGGTAGGCTAATTCTCACCGGGATGGGTGTCCAATTTTGGAAATTTCAAATCAAGGCATAGGCAGCAGCCACTACAAACTCCAGCAAGATGACTTTTTCGTTGTTATGCAAATTACTTATGGACTCCTGCACTTTTCCTACAGCTTCCTGGCTTGAGTTTCATTTTCTCGCCCCTTTCCTTCCAGAACTTCGACTAAGTCCTTCCTCTCTGTGGTTTCTCATGCCTCAGAATGCTGGGACATCTTTCTGTTTCGGCCTGCTTTCCCGCTTCCCTTTCTCTGGTCTATCTTGTTTCCATCCTAAGATTAAGCTTCCCCCTCCCACCCACAGTCCTGTGGGTCACGGTGGAGCAAGTCCACAGCTTTCCCCTGGCACTTCCTGTTAACTCACCTGCTCACTGGCCCCTGCCCTGCTCCCGGCCTCCCCCGCTCCCACTGGAGGAGGCAGCTGGCATTCTGGAATTCTGTGGCACAGACCATGTCTCCCTTATGGTGAGTAGGTAGCACACTCAGCTGGGTCTGTGACCCTGGGCAAGTTACTGAATCTCTGAGCTAAAGTCGGTATAAACTTGTTGCTATGGAGTTGACTCTGACTCACAGCAACCCTAGAGGGCAAAGTAGAACTGCCCCACAGAGTTTCCAAGGCTATAATCTTGATAGAAGCACACTACCTCATCTTTCTCCTGTATGGTGGCTGGTGGATTCAATTGCAGCCCTTCAGCTAGCAGCCACAGACTTAACCACTGCACCACCAGTGCTCCAAAGTGGGGATATTCAACAGTTAATGCCTGTTACACACTCAGAGCACTGCACAGTGCCTGGCACCCAGTGAACACTCAATAAAAACTAAACCAAAAAATCAAAATCACTGCTATTGAGTCAATTCCAGCTCATAGCGACTGCCATTGGGTTTCTGAGGCTATAAATCTTTACAGAATTAGATCACCCCGTCTTCCTTCCGTGGAGCAGCTGGTGGGTTTGAACAGCTGACCTTCTGGTTAGCAGCCAAACGCCTCATCCATTCGACCACCAGAGCTCCTTCCAATAAAAACTAGCTACTATTATTTCTGTGTGTATAAAAGGCTATCATTTCTATATGAAAAGTTAAGAAATACAGGAAAGGCAACAAGATAGCTACTAGATACAATTTTTTTGCATGCCCCCATTCCCAACATGCAAAACGAAACCCAAATCCATTGCCGTCAAGTCAATCCCGACTCATGGTGCCCCTGTGTTACAGAGTAGAACTGCTCCGTGGGGTTTCCTTGGCTGGAATCTTTACAGAAAGAGATCGCCAGGACTTATGCCGCAGAGCCACTGGGTGGATTCGAACCTGTAGGTTAGCAGTCCACTACAAACTGCTTGCACCACCCAGGGACCCTCCCAACACACAGGCCCCCAGTTAAAGAAATGTGGCCCTCCCAGGTGGTCTATCTTGGCCCAAGGAAGGGGTCATCATCGCCCAAAGCCTGGCCAGTCACCTCTGACTTGTCTGGCCAGAAGAGAAGCGCTGGTACTGGGACACGGAGGAGGTGCCGTGACAAGACACAATCTGAACAGACTGAACGATGACAAGCAGGAGGGATGGCCACCTCGGCCCCTGCTCATCCCGAGGCCCGGGACTCGTCTGCCTTGAGTTTCCTCACACCCGTGTCCCCCTCAACAGTCCGCCCTTGTTCTGAGGAAGCCACACTGAGCAAAAATGAAGGCGAACAGGGAAAGAAGGGAGCAACTGTGTAGAACGCGGCAGCCAAGCTGCCGTTATGCCTGGTGATCCCTCAGAAGTGGGGGTGGGTTACCCCAGTAAGCAAGGTAAGCACAGGTTGACTTGTGCTTACTTACTAATCTTAGTGCTTCATCCATCCCTGTCAGGGACTGTCAACTGGAAAAGAGGCTTTGACTCTGTAGGAAGGTGCTGTGGGATTGAGAGAGACATGCCAGCCCTACCTGAAAGCAGAATCTTGGATGAAAAAATGTGAAATTGTTCACTGAAGATTAGTAAGTATGCACAAGGAAGCCTGTGCTTACCTTGTTTTTTGGGTAACGTGACTCTGCTCAGAAGGCCAAAGACAGACCCTTGGAAGGGCGCCTGTGCTTCCGAGCAGACGCTAAGGGGGGCTGCCCCGCAGAACCCTTGCTTCCTCAGCTTTCCACATCTACTGTTTGAACTCCCTACTGCCAAACGCTGGGGGACAGCAGGGTTGAGATCGCACCCCAGGGTTCTGACTGCTTACCCATCTGGGCGGTGCCGTTACGTGCTTGACTACTCACAGAAAAGACTACTCACCCAGTAGGCGCCTCAGAAGCCAGCCCCCCCCCCCCCCCGAGTCAGAGCCTTGAAAACCCTGCGGAATGCAGTTCTGCTCTGTACACACGGGGTTGCCACAAGCTATAATCACCGACGGCCACTGGTTTGGTTTGGTTTGGTTTGGGTTACACAGGCTCCTTGCCTGGTCCTGTCACATCTGCTCGGTGCAAAGCAGCCCACCAGCTAGAATGCTGCACTTTCCCGCTTTTCAGCAGTTCCAGCCCCATTCCGTTTTGACTGTGGTCTGACAACTCCAGGAAGAAAGTACGCGATTTAGGACAGACTATTGGATGAATGAGTGTGTGGTGGCCATCCCCAGCCACTGCATGGCTTTGCCGTTTGCTCGTCCACCCGCATGCAGAACACACTGCTTTTGCTCCTCCCCACAATCCTGTGGGGCTGTGACTTCTGAAGCACAAGCAGCTGAGACGTGAGGGACCCGCTGACAGCCCCTCTGGAGTGGCCCCGTCTCAGCTCCCGATGAGGGGCGCTTTCATTTCATACTCTTTTCCTCCGAGACTCAGCAAAAGCCCAAACAGTTGTTAAAATGGGGGGGGGGGTGTCAGAGTAACTCGGCCTTTGTTGGGTTTCTGAGGAGATTTATACCAGGTGTGGGGAGTGTGGCTGCAAGGACCTCTGGGGGTCTGGGCACTAGGAGACATTTCCGAGAAAGGAAAGGATCCTGGGTAGGCAGGTCACCATTGATTTGTCTGAGGCATTTTGCAACCCGTTAAAAAAACAAGTGTGTACAGATGTGCGGCAGTTAAAAACCAATCTGATCTTTGCAGGTGGAATTTAACAAGCTGATCATTTAGAATATAAATGGTTTCATGGAGTCTAAGATGCACTTAAAATTTTTTTAACATCTTTGAAATTGGGAAGTGTCTTTTAATCAGTAGATATTAGAGTTCTCTGCTATAACTGGCAACATATTTTCTTTCTTGATAATATATATAATAATGGTGCACCCTACAATTGACAGTGCATTGAAGGAACGGTTGATGGCAGGGTTTCATTTAGTGGCTATGTCTTCTACTGAATTGAAACAAATTATCTAACTTCAGGAGCCCTGGTGGCACAATGGTTAAAAGCTCAACTGTGAACAGAAAGGTTGCTGTCGGTCTGCTTCCATGAAGAATACAGCCTTGGAAACCCTCTGGGGCAGTTCTTCCCTGACCCAGAGGATCACTATGAGTCAGAACCAAACCGACAGCAACAGATTTTATGTGACTTAAGGAGTCGTTAAGGTCCCGCACGTGGCAGACAGAGGGTCGAGCACCAGGTCATCACTCAACAGTGCTGGATGAACTTGGGAAGGGCAGACGTACTGACTAATGAAAGGACATCCTTCATAATTTAGAAATAACTTTTATAAGAACTGTCTGTAGATGTTTTTTTTCTTTTTCTCTTTCCCTAAAAATCTTGACCTTCTAGATCTTCTGGGAGAAATGACTTTCCCTGTCAGGGCCTAGGTGATTAGCATCTTAGAAAAACGATTTTAGAGAAAAAGAAACCCTGGTTGGAAACCTGCTAGACCTGGTTTGTCTTTTTTCTAAACTAACATTTATTAATCATATGACCCTGGTAAGCCACACTCTCTCTAGGTGTGGACACAAAGGGCCAGTGTTCATGAACTGCATGCATTTTCCTGAGATAACAAGAAGCTACATCCATCCAGCACTCACCTGGGTGGAGGGAGGGGCTTCTCACAGGAATAACCCCCAATAGCTGATATTCAGCAGCATCAGAGGAGGGAGGCCAGGTTCCACAGAAGTTAAATGCGGTGACCCCACATTGCAGACTTGCTCAGAGAATATATGCATGTGTGGTTAGGACTCAGGCTTTCAAATGTTTAGTTAAAAAACATTTGTGACTTAGCCACGCTTACCCACGTAACACTGAAAATGGTGACTGCTTAGTCCATTCAGTAGAATTTTATTGAGTACTTGCTATTTGCCAAGCACTGTTCACCCTGGAGACAGCCTCGAGTCACTGTCCTCAGAGAGTTAAGGTCTCTGTCCTCAGAAAGCTCACCATCCAGCCAGGGGTAGTCCTGGGTGAACAATGATCATCCTCAGCAGTTAGCTTCTACTCCCTCACATTCTTACCAGGCAGATGTTCTCTGTTTTCGGCTCTCTGTGGCTGCAGCAGGCTGTTTTGGGGGGTTTGTAGAAGGGACACACGTCAACGTCTTTCACGGAGATTTTCCTCAGGATGCTCATCGTCATGTGCTTTCCTGTCTGGACCATGCAACAGAGAGTCTAAGAACTGTGAACAAGAAGCTGCTCCCGAAGTCACCTCAACTGCAACTCAAACCCACATGGAAGTGAGCAGAAAGTGTCCTTGAAAACTCTTTTCCTCATAGAAACAGAACCTGAGCCTGAGTTTCTACTGAAAACCACCTTGCTTTGAACTGGAATTTCATGAAAATAGGCAGAGGATATATTCATCCTTCCTCCACATCTACAGAGTACATTTCCTTTTTGTCTTTCCCAAGAATAAAAGAAAACAGGGATGGCTTAGATAAAAAGACAGTCAACCCCATTCAGGGAATAATGGCCCCTCACGCCCCCGTGACCATGTACTCATTCAGGCTCTCCTCTGCCTATGCCCTTCCAGTTTCAGCTGACAGCTAGAGGGAAAAGGGCCAAATGTAAGAAAGGCCACAGAAAGGGCAAGCACCGGGAATCTTGAAAGAAAGGCCGATTGGGTGAGGGTTCCAGCCCAACTCTAGAGACTGGAGCAAACTGAATGATCAAACTGGGATAAGCCCTAATCCTGTTCTTCCAGGTCACCCCCACTGCTAGCACACACACAGCCTCCTCTAGGAGAAGGCAGGCATTAACTGCAGACGTGGGGTTCCATCCTGACAGCCAGCAGTTCCGCAAGGCCGGGAGCTTATGCAGCATCCTGCTGAGGAAGCAGACGGGCTGGACCAGGTCGCTGAACTGCATCGCCGTGTCTGTCTTTAGGAGGGCTATGTTGTTCCTCATGGAGCGGTTGTTGAAGCCCTCGTGGATGATGATGATGTTGACTGGGTACTCTGTGTGGGCTCTCTTCCGGGCATCCATGTTAGCTATGCCGACTATAACGACCACGTTCTTCCTGGAAAGAGAGCAAGGGAAGCTTGAGAGGCCAGGGCACTGAGGCAGCTGCATGCCTCCCTGTGTTCACAGTCATTGTTTCTTGGGCCTACAATGTTAATCCAACTCATCTTCCCTGGGCTACTTTTTTTTTTTTTTTTATTTGGGTGAAAGTTTAATGAGCAAATTCACTTTCCATACAGCAGTTCACACACACGTTATCTCATGACATTGACTACAATTTACCCCAATGCAACAGCTCCCCTCCCACTTCCTGCCGATAGTTACCTCTTCCCTGTGTCCGTCCCTACATGCACTCCTGCCCCCTGGACTACTTTTACTCACTCCTTCAGACTCAGTCTCTAGAAAATCTTCTCTGATTTCCTCCTGAGACTATTGAGAAGTCTTCTATCTTAACTCCACTTGCTCCAGAACTCAAAGATACTCTGTTAACATGGTATTGGGGGTACCTTTCTCCTTGTGCATGGGTTGGTTCGTTGGTTTTTACATAGCTGTGATTATACCAAATATGTAATCTTGACTCTTGTCTTTAGCACCTAACATCTTAATATAAGCGTCTTTCCATCTTTATATACTGAAGTACACTTTAGAGAAATTCCAGTTTTAATAATAATGGAGTAGAGTTGAGTGTTTTCCTCATCTCCTCTTGGGAATCATCCAGAGAGCTACAAGAATGGCAAACACATCAAACATTGTAAAACTAAGAGACACTAGAGGATCCAAACCTCAGAATCAGGGGAAGGGCTCACAAAAGCATAAAGGACAGTAGGAGGCAGGGAGTCAGATATGACACCTACTACCTCAGGACTCAGAAAAAGGCCGGCCGAGTGTGCTTCTCAGCAAAGAAGTAGGAGGGAAAGAAAGAAAACCACCACAGAAATTAAGGCCCAGGTGGAAGCTGCTTACAGTAGCATAGAGACCACAGAAAACAGGGACATAGAAGGTAGGAATGAGAAAAGTGCCTGAAATAAAATGGAAATTAACAAAGATTTTTAAACGTTACAGAGAAGAACAACACATGACTGTTAAAGGAGAACCAACAGACCAAAAGGTTGTAATCAAAATAATGACCGAGAAAAAAAATCAAGAGATAATTTAAGAAAGCTTTCCAGAAATGAGACTTAGGTCTATACTTTGGAAGAGTACTCCACATCCTGCAGAAAAGTGATACAGAATGACAGACCGATGATCACTGAGACATATCCTAGGCAGGCCTGGGCAGGAAGCGGGTGGCTCACTTGTAAAAGGAAAATGGAAGAGAGTTAAACAAATAGGCTCTTAACAGAAGTCTTGGAGAATGTAGGGAAACAACAGGAAGAGTGGAACACCCTGGAATGAATAACAGCAAGGTGCTGATGCCACCTATATGTTCTAGGTGAAGGGAGGGAATGGTCAGAGATGAGCTGTGCCGAGAAGGCAAATTGGCCAGAGGAGAAGCCAGTCCACAGTAAGCCTCAAGGAAATAAGGACCCTGACCCCATTCTCCCCCTCCCTCTGATTTCTTGCTAGTGCTCTCCTTGGCCAAACCCAACAGACACAGAAGACACAGAAGAGAGCCCACTGATATAACCCACACAGGTCACCCTCCTGGGACACAGAACAGGGGGGCAAAGGGTAGAGAATGGATCTGAAGGGGCAAATGGAAGAGACCCAGCATAGCTAGTAGTCCTTAGTGACAAAGAAGCAATCCCTGGGCATCCAGATAAAAAATGATTAAGTCATATTAAGTTTGGCCATATAACTTATTAAGGAGCTCTGGTGGCATAGTCCCTAAGGCATCTGACTGCTAACCAGAAGGCCGGTGGTTCAAACCCACCAGGCACTCTGAGGAAGGAAGATTAGGCAATCTACTTCCATAGAGACACCACCTCAGAAGCCCAAGGAGGGGTTGCTATGAGTCAAATTGACTCAACAGCAAAGAACTTGTGAGAGTGAGAGGGGTTTTAACAACAGGATTCTAGGATAACAGTGGCAACCAGGCCTCTCCCAGCCATTTAGGATATATAGTCACCCTACCTATATGGGGGATAATCAGAATGGCCTCAGACTTCTCCTCACCAAGATTTAATAACAGAAGCTGAGGGATGATGCCTATAATAGCCTCAAGAAAAGAAGGTGTGGGCCATGGATTCTATACTTACATGGTCATTCAGATTTAAGGGCAGCACAAAAAACTTTGAATATGCAAAACCAGGGAAATATGGTTCTTTGGGGCCCTTTGAGAAACTACTTGAAGGCAAACTTCAACCAACTTCAGTACTGAATAAGAAAATCCAGCAAAACGATGGTCAGTAAGTATGGAATCCATTATAATACTGGAATAAAATTAAAAGAAAATTTTTTGAAAGTTATAGATCTAAGTAAAAATGTTACAAACCCTGGCAATAATCAAATGATGTAACTAAAGTTAGAAACGTTGGAGTTAGTGTATACACAGCTCTTTCACCTTTTATAGCCAGGAGTAAAAACATATTATTCACAGTGAATATATGAAGTTGTAAGGGTGTACAATTATGTAAACAGTAAAACACATGTATAATCTATTGAAATTGAATGGTGGTGGGGAAGGAGGGAGGAAGGAAGAAGTGACAAGCTACAAATTCTGATTCTGGTCACAGTAGGGCTTCAAGAGAGGGCTGCCCAGAAAGAAACAGAATTTAGGTTTCTTACATGAGATCATTTCCTGTTGGATCACAACAGAATATTGCCAGGCATAGGGCTGGAAGGTTGCTGGGAGAAGCCACTTAATACCCAGTGGTTGCCGGGTGACCCTGAGTATACCAGTGACCATGAAGCTGGCACCAGACTGGGCAGTGTTTCACTCTGTTGTACATGGGGTCACCATGAGTTGGAGTTAACTCCATGGCAACTAACACCACCACCAAAATGGAAATACAAACTTTCCCAATTTATCAGAAGGAGATTACAAACCAAAACAGAAGCCATAGAGTGAAAATGTAAAATGAGATACCATAAAAACAGAAAGCATACCTGTTCTGGTTCCCTAGTGCCGCTCTGACAAGAGTATACCACAAATGGGATGCCTTAACAAACAGGAGTTTATTCTCTCACAGTTTGGAGGCTTTAAGTCCAAGTTCAAAGTGCCAAGCTCTAGGGGCTGGGGGAAAGCCCCTCCACCTTGGGCTTCAGCTTTGCCTCCTGCTCCCGGCCCACTGAAGGTAAAGGCATCTCTTCACTCAGACAGCTACTGGCTGCTGAGGCTGACAAGCCCAGGGTCGACAAATAAAATGGCAGTCCCGATGTTACCAAACCACACGGCAGGCCATTAATTCAAGTCCATTGTAAGTCCCCAGGTCGGCAGAGCATGGCAGGCTGCTGAACAACGACACGGCTACATGAAGGGTCCAAGCATGTTGTAAGCTAGAGACCATTCCCAAAGCTGTTTCTTACATACGGGAAGCAGATCACATACCCAAAGGCAGCTACTCAGCTACATACAGTAGTTTCCACCATGGAGCTGATTACCAGTCTCATCACGGGGAATACTACATCCAGCTGCCCAGCCACATAACCAGGTCCAGCCAAGCTGACACACAAACTCAACTACCACAATACCTCAATCAACAAGGAAAAGCAGGAGTCATGTTGGTCACATCAAACAAGCTTAATGAATTCAGAGCCAAAAAAAAAAAAAAAGCATTAGGACAAATAAAGACCCTTTGTAATGATAAAAAAAAAATAAAATTCAGTCTCTAGTGAAGACCTCACAGTTATAAATATCTGCAGCAGGTAACATAGTGTTCACAAAGTAAGAACTACGGGAAATATGAGAAGAGGCCAGAAGCTTGTTTGCAGTGGTGGTGGTGGTGGTAGGTGCCGTCAAGCCGGCTCTGCCTCCCACGACCCTGTGGACAACAGAACACAACGCCGCCCGCTCCTGCGTCATCCTCATGGTCCACGCTCTGCTTGAGCCCATCGCTGCAGTCGCTATGTCACTCCATCGCAGTTTATTCAGCTTTCGCAGCCTGGGGAAGATCAAGTAGTCTTCCCTCCACCCCTAGTTTTATATATGAAATTGGACACCAAGGACAGAGAATACACTTTTTCGTTTATCTGTGGGAAGTATTCATATGGACCACATCCATTAGGCCACAAGGACAACCTCAACAAATTCCAAAATAGACCACCATACAGTATAACTCAGCATTAATAACAAAGAAAACAAAACAACCCTCCCACCTGGTGTGCAGTGTGCGCGCATCTACGGCTGGAATATTTTTAAGGCCCAAGGAAAGTATTTTGGGAGAAATGATCTGACTCCAGGACAGCGGGACAGAGCCAGCTGTGGCGACTTAACAAGATAAGCAAGTACAGACCTCTAATGTTAAGAGTCACGATTTAAATGAAATGGGAACAAGTATCCCCTCCCCACAGGATAGGAGGGAAGGGGGCCCGGTGGCATAGGGGTTAAGCACGTGGCTGCTAGAACCCTCCAGCTGAAATGTGGGAGAAAAATGTGGCACCCTGCTTCCATAAAGATTTTCTTTTTCTATTGTGATTTGGGTGCAAATTTACAAAGCAGATTCATTTTACTCTGACCAGTTCATGCACATTTGATTTCACGGCCCCGATCACAATCCCCAACCATGAAAAGCCCTCCCGCCCTCTCCTCCCTGTGACTACTCCTTCCCTGTGCTCTTCTTATCTATGCATTCCTGTCTGTCCAGCTTTCCGTCTTTGGGAATGCTGCTTCCTTAAAGATGAAACACCCACTGCCATGGCGTCCATTCTGACTGAAGCAGACTGCCACGTCTTTCTACTGTGGAGCAGCTGGTGGGTTCAAACCACCATCTTTTGGTTAGCAGTTGAGCACTTTAACCGCTGCACCACCAGGGCTCCTCTGCAAAGATTACAACCTTGGAAACCCTGTGGGGCAGTTTTATTCTGTCCTATAGGGTCACCATGAGTCCACGACCCTGGGGAATCAACTCCATGGCAAAGGCTTCTATAGACTAGATGGCTAATGACGTCATTGTCCAGCCGTGCAGCCCATGGTCCACACAGCAGACTGCGCCACGCTTGGCGACTGGTGGTTTTAGGACCTGATAATGCACTTTTTCCAGCTTCCCAGGCTGTAAAGGGACCAGTGCTCCCCAGCCTACCCCCTTGGCCTGGAGCTGGTGGGCCCCGAAGGTGGGAGTACTGGCCTGTGCTGAAAGGTGGAGGCCACGCTGAGGATCCAGAACTCACTGAGGATGCAGCCGAAAGCCAGGTGGGTGTACCGGGAGTCCTGCAGAGACACCACCCACGGGAACATCTTGCTGTGGACCAGGTTGTCCTCGAGAGTGTCCGGAATGAAAGCTTTCTGGATGCCACAGTCTGCGGAGGGAAGACAGGGCCTCGCTGCTGGGCCAGGAGCTGGCTGCCTCTGGACACCAACACCACAGACCTCAGGAGCGCCCCCTCCTGCTGGTTCCCCACTCCTCCTGCCTCATCATCAGGGCTCTCTCATTCTACCAGCCCGTTTCTTTCTTTATCCAAGAGGGTCTTTTTCCCACACAATGTCTTGGTGGTGTCTTTGAGCCTATAAATAGTGTTAGATTGCCGGTAATACCTTCCACCTACTGAGCTCTTGGGAGTCCCTGGGTGGTGCAGTTAATGCTCCCAGCTGTTAAGCTGAAAGGTTGGCGGTTCGAATATACCATGGAATTGACTCAAAATGCCTGGTGATCTACTTCTGAAAAAACAGCAGTGAAAAACCCTACAGAGCACAGACCTACCCTACCACACACAGGTCACCATGAGTTGGAGTTGTCTCCATGGCAACTGAAGGAAAAAAAAGTACTTACGTGCTAGGCAGTGTGCAAGATCTTTTATATACATTAAAAACAAGCAAAACCCACTGCCATTGAGTTGATTCCAACTCCTAGTGATCCCCATTAGTTTTCCAAGACAGTAAATCTTTACAGAAGTAGACTGCCCCATCTTCCTTTGCAGTGTGGCTGGTGGGTTTGAACTGCCAACCTTCTGGTTAGCAGTCAAATGCCTTAGGCACTGAGCCACATTAGTGTAGTCTGGAGATGTCTGGGAGTTCCTAAGACCTTTTTGAGACCTTACTTATACACATACTTAATAAATATTCTCATAAGAATACCAAGGCATTGTTTTCTATTTTTCATTCTCATTCTCTCATAAGCATACAGTGGAATTTTCCAGAGGCCACTGATGTTATCATGTGATGGTATATTCCTGTGTTTTAAAAATCTTGTTTTAATTTCAAATGTGGTAAATATGAAAAGATACAAGCTTTACAACCCTTTTCAGTCATTAAAGGCTATGGAGGACATCTCCACTGTAAGGCATCATGTCAGACAAACGTCTGTCTGAATTGATACCTGGGAGACTTGGCTGGAACTATGACAGAGCTGGACATTGGTGAGATGATGTCTGCAAGACCATTAATGCCTCAGAATTACCAAAGAACAGACACCCTGACATTGGTCTGATTTTTCTTTGGACGTTGGTAATCTATGTGAACAAGGCATTAACTAGTCCTTCTGAACCCAACCAGAACCTATGCACAGGTCACAGTGATGGCTTTGCCTTTGCAATGCTCTGGTCAGCTAGCTCATTTGACCTCATAAAACCTTCGGAAGGCCAGGATGTAGTGAGGAAATCTGACCTAGATAAAACATTCGCCCTGGATCCCTTGGCTGTGGCTTTTTTAAGAAGGCAAGAGGGCCTGGGCCCTTTCTGTGTGTGTCTAGGTATCCTCTGGACATCTTGGGCTGCAAGGAGGGTGAGGGAGTGGAGAGGACTGAGGAAGACTGATCCTCTGCCTTGGAGGGTTCCCCTCTTTGTATGAATGTGTGTGTGCATGTGTGTGTGTGTGTGGGGGTGTACTCTTGTGTCTCCCAGCTAACACCAGAATAGCAGACAGAGCCAGCTGGGGTGACAGAGAGGTAAGCACAGCCTGCTTTAGTCGGATGCCAGTGACACCTGTCCCTTCTAGGCTGGAAATTTTAGTCCTGGACAACCTGGAGGAAAGGGAGGCGACTATAGCTGTCACTTCTGCCATCTCTTAGACTCCGACAGTCTCCATGGCATGTGTAGCAGTAGGAGTCCAGGCCATCTGCCCACCCTGCTCCTGGGCCTAGCTCTGCAGTTGGGGCTTAGAGGCCCTGTTGATTTTATTATAAAGGCTTCATTGCAACAAGAGTGCTGAAGTACAAGCCAGAGAGAGACCCGGTCCCCAGGTATACTAGATACATCCCATGTCCTATTTCTGCACAGGTGTGTGGAAGACAAACCCCCTCGGACAGTGCCTGGGGGACGTGCCCCAAGAAGAGCAGGGCAGGAGCTGTGGGCAGGGCAGCAGGCCTCTTGCTGGCCCTCTTTGTCTGTCTCTGTAGCCTACAGCTCATTTCCCTAACTGCACTCCCACCCTGCAGACAGACCTGACACCAGGCTGCGGAGACCAGTTTCCTTTGTCCACACCCCACGTCTTTGACTGTTCCCAACATCAGTGCTGCACAGAGCAAAGCTGGGAGTCCTCTTCCCCCGGAGCCCCTCTCTGGGCATTAGGGACCATTTCATTTTCCTGATGATGCCCCCTCTGCCATATTACATGTTCAACCAAAGTCACCCCAGAAGCAGCCCCACTCACTGGCAGAAGACTGGGAAACGCACAGCAGTAACAAGAGCACCCTTCTCATCTCTGCCATCCCCAAAGAGAACTGCAGCAGACACCATGGGCAGCTGTGTAGACAGAAAAGCCAGTGGTGCGGTCATCTTCCTGAACAGACAGGGATTGCTGGCTCCACCCCCAGCGTCAGAGGTCCTGCCTCCTTCCTTTCCCCTGACAAGAGTCCAGGGTTTGGGAAACTGACCTGTCACGTCCCTATTGTGCAGTTCTGTGCAGTACAGAGGCAGGGACCAGCTGTCCAACCCTGGTATTCAGTTAACGATTTGTAAAATGGGCCCAAGGAGAGAAGGCTACCCACACTGCTCCGTTTTCCCCTCAATCCAGCCTGAGCCCTTGGGCTTCGTAGAGAGTTGGGTTTCTGGAAAGGGTTCTTTTTTGATTTGTGGAATTCAACCTTAACTCTGTAGTCATGAAACGCTGCTGGAAAAAAAAAAAAGGGAAGAGTTTAGTCCGGGTTTAAAGTGTATGCTATGGTTTTATCACGCATACTAAACTCTGCTGCCTTAAATACTGCTGGGATTTCTTTCAACTAATAACTGCTAGTAGGAGCTCTGGTGGCATAGTGCGTAAGGCATTTGACTGCTAACCAGAAGGCTGGCGGCTCAAATCCACCAGCCATTCCTCAGAAGGAAGACTGGGGAATCTGCTTCCGTAGAGATACCACCTGGGAAACCCGAGGGGTTGCTATGAGTCAGAATTGACTTGACAGCTGTGATTTTTTTTTTTTTTAAATAACAGTTAGTACTTTCAAACAGTAAGGGACAGCCAGCATGTAGCATTGTAGCCCAGTTAATTCACACAATACCACCATGAGTTAGACACTCTCTTCATCCCCATTTGACAGATTCAGAGACTGACACTCAGAGACACTGGGTACTCGGCCCGAGACCACATAGCTAGAGGGATTCCAACTTAAGTCTGCCTGCATCCAAAGCGTAAGCATACTTCCCCACAATACCAGGCCTAAACCCTTCCTCAAACAATGCACAGCAGCCTGAAGAACCCACTGGTGCAGCTAAGTCACCATGTTCCGCTCATGACACCGGATGTTTCTTGTCGTCAGGATGTTTCTCAGAGTTCTTCTGTGAACTGCTTCTGCTAAAGGAGAAATGAACTCACTCTGGCCTTACACAGCAGAGCTCAACACAGGAATTTCTTCTACCACCTCGTGAAGAATGTTCCATTGTGGCATCACGGTTACCATGGTGTCACCACGTAAGTGTCTGGACTTGGGGACTTAGGAGGAGCCAGGAAGAAAAGCCTGCCTGTTACCTAACCTTGGACCACATTCCCAAAGCCAGGTTCTCTCCAGGTCTGGCTGGATTGGGAAGACTCTCTTTTGCTGAGTCACAAAGTCCTACCTGGTCATGGCCGTGACCTACGTAGCCCCATCAGCACCCACACCACAAATGCCAAGTGTCTATGAGAATTTGTCAGGACTGAGGAAGCCCACAACTTGGGTGCATTTGGTGTTTGCACCCTCACACTCCCAGTGTGGTTTGTTTGAGGCTCAATCCTGTTTTCTTTAGCCCCACTGTTGCGGGTTCAAGCTAAACTACCAGACCAGCTCTGCTAAACCATAGGGTTGGATGGGGCCTGTACTCCAGCCATTGGGAGCAGCTTTGACCTCAGCACAAATGCAAGACTACAGGAAGGTGCTGACAACTTTGTGGTAAGATACAACTTTGTGGTTTGCAGGCTTATGGGTGTAATAGGCCCTTAAGAGAGATTTATCAGCCAGGCAGATGACTGAGTGATGGAAAATAGGATGGCTGGATGAAAAGCAAAGCTTGAGTCAGAGCCAACCAGTTGCTCTCCAGTCTATTCCAACCATGGTGACCCCATGTGTGTGTCACATTATTATTAATTACATAATAATAATATTATTGATAACATTATTATTAATAATTATTAAATAGAACTGTGAGTATCCAATGGCTGACTTTTCAGAAGCAGGTCACCAAGCCTTTTTTCCCAAGGTGTCTCTGGGTGGACTCCAACCTCCAACCTTTCTGTTAGCAGCTGAGTTCATTACTTACAACCGTTTCTGTTTTGGAGGGTAGAAGCCCAGATCAGGGCATCAGATCTAGGGAAGGAGCCCTCCTCATAAGTAGCCCAAGCCGTTGTTTGGCTTGTAGGTGGTTCCTCCCACGGTCTCTTCCCCCTGTGAAGTGTCCTCTTCTGCTCTTTTTAGGACCCATCTCAGAAAAGATTAGGGTTAGGACCCACTTTACTCTGGTATGACTCCATTACTATAACAAAAGAAAACCCCATTTCCAAATCATTTACAGGTACAGGGGTTAAGACTTCCACATAACTTTTAGAAGGGCACAACTCAACCCACAGCAGCCAATGACTGCTCTCGGGGTGCTCATGGGCTCCCCACCATGCTCTGAACACGGGAGGCTGTGCACGCTTCATCCAGGGAGACAGTGATGCGTGGAGTCTTAATTCACTTGGTTGCTTTCCATTCTGGAAAATGGGTTTTCGTGTTCAGTTGGCAGTTTTGAAAAATGTTTTTTTTTGTTTTCCAATAGTTAGTTAGTTATAGATTATAATCTTATTGTTTCCAGGAAAGTTTACACAGTAAATTAGGTTCCCATTTGACAATTTCAGTGACATTAGTTACGTTCTCCACAATGTGGCAACATTCTCTGTAATTCCATTCTGGTTGTTCCATTTCATTGTTATTGTTGTTGTTGTTGTAATGTGCCGTCAACTCGTAGTGACTCCTCCTTGGGTTTCTGAGGCGGTATCACTACGAAAGCAGATTGCCCAACCTTCCTTCTGAGGAGTGGCTGGTGGGTTTGAACCACCAGTCTTCTGGTTAGCAGTCAAGTGCCTTAGGTACTACGCCACCAGAGCTCCCGTTCCATTTCAGAGTGGACTTATTTATTTACTTATTGTTGCTGTTGAAAATACACACAACAGAACATACACTGATCCAACAGTTTCTACCACTTACTGACACTGATTACAGTCTCCAAGTTGTGCAACCGTTATCACCCCCCTTTTCTGAGTTTTCTCTCCCTCATTAACATAAATTAAATGCCCCTTAAGGTTCCTGTGTAATCTTTTGTGTTGTTACCAATTTGACCCCACATAGACCATTCTTAAAAGAGCATAATCCTTAAGGTAGACTTTTTACAGTGGTCAAGCTATTCAATTTTAAGAAGACTTCAGGGGATATTTTAGTTTAAGTTAAAGATTATTTAAGGCAATAGTTTCAGGGGTTCTTCCAGCCCCCTTGGCTCCAGAAAGTCTAGAATCTGTGAGAATTTGACATTCTGTTCTGCATTTCTCCCCTGTTGATCAGGATTCTTCTATGGAATCTTTGATCAAAATGTTCAGTAACGGAGCCAAGCTCTTCTGGTCTTGTGACAAAGGAGGCAGTTGTTCATGGAGGCAATAAGGCACGCATTCCATGTCCCCCTCCTATTCCTGATTCTAGCACTACACAACGTAAACTGTAATGATGGGCACCATTTTTGTTTGTTTTCCTTCTTTCTTCCTTCCTTCCCTCCTTCTCTCACTTTCTTCCTTTCTCGTCTCATTTCTCTTCTTTTTTGTTCTTCTGTTTTTTTGTGCAGCAAAAAGCTAAGAAAGAGCTACGAGTTTCTTGGTATGAATAATGTGATATTAGTAAGGAAAAGGTGTCTATCAAAAACAAAAAATCTGATGACTAAAATAGATCCTGAATCCTATTTAAACTACCTAACCTGAGTAGTAAGGAGCTCTGGTAGCGTAGTGCCTAGGCATTTGACTGCTAGCCAGAAAGCTGGGGGTTCAAACCCACCAGCCACTCTGTGGAAGGAAGACTGGGCAGTATACTTCCATAAAGATTTACCACCTCAGGAACCCAAAGGGGGTCACTATAAGTTGGAATTGAGTCGAAGGCAGTGAGTTTGGTTTTTTCAGTTTTGATTCCTGACTCTTCCTCATCCTCTGTCGCTCCAGGGAAATTTGAGACCAATTGTTGTGCTTTGGATGGCCACCTGCAAGCTTTAAAGAGATACTCTTTCTGTTTGTTGTTGTTGTAAATAATCCATCACAACTTTTTCCAATTCAACTTTCTATAGGTGTAAAACTTTGGCAGAAATTATAATAATCTACTGTGCAACCTTACCTTCAATCCACATGGTATTTCCATCACCATTAACCCCTCCTCCCACCCCTAGTAACCACTAATAAACTTTGTTCTCTGTACATTTATCTTTCCTTGTCTTTTTATATAAGTGAGGTCCTACAGTATTGGTCCTTTTTGTGAGTGACTTATTTCACTCAGCATATTGTCTTCCAGCTCCATTCACATTGCAGCATGTATCAAGACTTCATTTCTCCTACTGACTGAGTAGTATTCCATTATGTGTATGTCTCACATTTGGTTTATCCATTCATTTGTTGATGCACATTTAGGCAGTTTCCACTTTTGGACTTGTGAATAGTACTGCAATGAACATTGGTGTACAAGTCTCTGTTTGAGTCTCTTCTTTCAAGTCTTTTGGGTCTATACCTAGGAGTGGTATTGCTGGGTCATATGACAGTTCTATTTTAGTTTTTTGAGGAACTGCCACTCTGTTTCCACAACAGCTGTGCCATTTAGCATTCCCATCAATGAGTTAAGATTCCAATTTCCCTACATCCTGCCAACATGTTTTGTTTTGTTATCTTAATCATTCTCCAACCTCCAAACTCACTGCCGTCAAGTTGATTTTGACTCATAGTGACCCCCACTGGGTTTCCAAGTCTGTAAATCTTTACAGAAGCAGCCTGCCTAATCTTTCTTCTGCAGAGCAGCTGTTGGGCTCAAACTGCTGACCTGGTTAGCAGCCAAATGCTTTAACCACTATACCACCAGAGTAGCATAGTGCCTAAGGCATTAGACTGCTAACCAGAAGGTTGGTGGTTCAAACCCACCAGCCACTCTGCAGAAGGAAGACTGGGCAATCTACTTCCATAAAGATTTACCACCTCAGAAAACCAAAGGGGTTCACTATGAGTTGGCGTCAACTCAATGGC